CAGCCACATCCAAGCCCAGCCGAGTGAGACGACTTGACTAGAGCTAAGGAACCTTCCAGAATTACAAAGACCTTAAGCAGAAAGTTAGTGCTGCCCTGGCCTCAGCATTCAGGCGAGTGGAAACATATTACTGAGGCTGGAATCAGGAAGGATGTCTATGGGCAGCCTTGGCTACTAAAAATCAAAAAAAGGAGGTGCACTGAAAAACAAGGAACTCATGCAATATTATTCAAAACGGGTGACCCTGGAGGACATTATGCTGAGTGAAATATCTCAGTCACAAAGGGACAAATACTGCATGGTGCCACTGTTGTAGAATGGGTAGGACATCAGGGTTGGGGTATGACAGAAAAAACTGGGTAAATTTTGTATATTATATTGAAACAGATGGGGGAAAGAACAGATTAGAGGTGATATATGATTATTATGGTTAGCACAGGAATCCAGAATTAAGGTTGCATAGAGAAGTGTACTGGGGGGGGTAGGTGGGGGAGAAGGGATGGGGGAATAGTATACTAATGAAGGAATTTTTTTTCTCTTCTTTTTCTTTTTGGAGAGGGGAGCGAACTGGTGGGGAGGGGTGGGCAGGGAGAAAAGTGCGGCAATGAATGAATGGAAATCCAAAACCTCTGTAAATGTCTATTAAAATTAATTTAAAAAAGGAGGTGCATGTCTCAGGGCACCCAGACTTATAAAAGGGCAGGGGCAGCTCAGGGCAGAAGCTTCACCTTCCGCACGGGGGACCTGGACCTGGTTCCCAGCTGCTGCACCTCGTAGTCAGCCACGGCTCATCTGTCTGCTCAGGTGTGTGTGCTGTTCTGATTCTGAACAGATTTCTGGCAGTGGAACTTTCAGATGAAGATAGACTAGGAAGAAAGGCCTGGCAATCTACTTACAAAAATGAACCAGTGAAAGCTGCACGGATCACAGCTGTCCGTTCTGCGGCCGATCATGGGGATGATGCAGGAGTGGGTGGGGCTTTGTCACATCGTGCATGGGGTCATCATGAAAACAACAGCCAACAACAACGGGGATTCATTCAGACGATGTCACATCTGAAAACTGGAGGAACAAGCCAAACCCACTACCAGGCTGATGTCCACTCTCAGGACTGAGGAAACTTCCCTGCAGGAGTTTTAAGCCTATAACTTCTCCCAGAAGCAGTTGTTGTTGTTGTTGTTAAGTGCCGTCGAGTTGTAGGCAACTCACAGCAACCCTACGAACGAGAGTTTGAGACACTTTCTCCAGGTTCATAGGGTTTCCGGAGGCAAGCTGTTACGGAAGGGGATGCCACTCCTGCTTCCAAGCTTGTTTCAAGCGGGGAGCTCCACCAAACACTGTCCATCACGGGTGACCATTATTGCATTTGACACATCAGGGTCAGTGATCAGCTTTCTAGAAGCAGACAGCCATATAATTTTCCCCAAGGTGGATTTGAACCTCCAACCCTGAGGTTAGCAGCTGAGTGATTTAACCACTATGCCAACAGAGCCCTTTCTAGTACACAGTGACTCTTATTCTTGCTTTTAAAGGCTGCCAAGTAAGTGACCCTATGAGCAACGGGCTGAAACCAGGCCATACCCTGAGCCATCCTCGCCGTGTCCACTCGGCTTCAGCCCACTGTGCCGTCACTTTGTCAGTTCAGCTGGTTGAGGGTCTTCCTCTTTTGAAATAACTTTCTACTTTTCCAAACATGATGTCCCCTTCCCAGGACTGACCTCTCCTGATCACATGCCCCAAATACATGACACGGAGTCCCATTATCCTTCCCTCTATGGAGATTCTAGCTGCACTGCATCCAAGACAGCTTTGTTTGTTCTTTTGGCAGTCCACAATAGAGTCGCTTCTCTCTGCCAACAACACAATTAAAAAGGACTTAAGAAACTGGCATTTCTACCTTATTTTGTTTCTGACTCTTTAATGATTTTCTCAGAAACAACCACTGTGGATGTCCTCTGCTCCTGACTCATGTATCCAGGAGACTGCTTCCTTTTCTCGATGTCTGCCTTTTCTAGCTCAGAGAAACCCCTCTCCTGTGTCTCCGCTACGGCCAGTCCAAAGACCTCTAACTCATCTGCTCAGTTTCTCACTACAGAGAAAGGCCTGGTCTTCTGCTTCGGGGACAGTGAACACCGACTATGTCCCAGAGGCGACTGGCCTTCAGAACAGAGCAGTGGACACAGATTACTGGCCTTCTCTTGGGTGATATGAGCAGCACAAGTCCAGCCAACTTCCTCTCAGGAGGGCAAAATTTCCAGAAAAACTCCCATCAATTTTTTTTCTTCTCTTCTCTAATTAGGCATACTATGAAACCCAGTGAATTAACATTTCCAAGAATGCTGAGTTCTTCTCAGCAATGCCATGACGATAAACTAAGTCCCACTGGGCTCGCTCACCGTGGCACGGTACAAAACCACTTCCCACAGTATGTTTAAATCAGCACCAGATGGATGGGCTGGAGCTCCGTTTAAATCATCCCAATGATGTGTCATCCAGCTCATATGTCAAGATCGAGATGGAACCTTATCCAACTGAAGAGAACCTGCACTGACTTTCTTTTACGACGGCCAGGATCAAAGAGGCTGATGTTGGCTCGGTAGATGTGCTGGGCCCTTCCCGACTTCTGAGAGTGACTCAGGCCACGTTGTTAACATGTCCAAGCTAAGTAAATGAGGAATCCACACCCGCCAGGCAGGAAAACATGCCAGCTTCCCACTAAAACTGCCAACTGTGATAAACCAGCTTCCGTTAGGAAAACTGCTGGACTTTGCACTGGGGAGTTTCCCAGTCACAAGGGGGCAACGACCTATAAAGCAGAGCGGAAGGTAAGCACATTTCTCCCCGTGCTTTCCTGCGGGACACGAAGGCAAACAGAGTGAATCACCCCGAGCTGTCACTTGTCACCCTTTCCAGAGCTGATGAGAAGCAACAGCCCACCTCACACGAGCACCCAGCTGACATGGCACGAGGCTGGGCAAACATCCTGGAAGAAGGGTCACTGAAACTCAGAGCCACAAATGTGGAAACGCCCACCATGTGCCTTGGTTCTTCAGTGCTGCTACTGTGACAGGGAGACCACAGGCAGACACATTAACAGACAGACCTGTATTCCCTCACATTGCAGGAAGCTCTCTCTCATGACAGTCAATTCAGAACCGACTCTGAGCTTCCTCTCCAGCAGGCTTTGTCTCTGTCAAGGTGCAAAACTTCCACTCCCACTTCCCGTTCAGATCAGCCTTTCCTCCATCCAGTTCCTACTAGGGGACCTCTGGTGGCCTAGTCCAGAGAACACTATGCTAGTAACTCAAAGGCCACACCTCTCTAGTGGTTGAAATTCACCACTGACTCTGAGAAAGAAGAAGCCATCTGCCCCCTTGCCATTTACATCCTTGGAAACCCAATGGAGGGTCAGCTCTGACTCAGGTTTGATGGGACAGTAATGAGGTTTTTTTGAGGTTGAGTTTCTCCTACCCAAGAAATGAACTTTCTCCTGTGTGACCCCAAGGCAGTTAAACCCAAGCCAGATTACAAGTGATGCCATCTCCTCGGGAGGAGCGCGGTGTGATGCCGTCTCCTCAGGTGGAGAGGTATGGTGTATTGTCCAGCCAGTGAGGATGGTTTCCAAGACAAGGCTTCTATCCACAGCCACCTGCACCAGCTCAGTCAGACAATGGCCAGCAGGGTCCCTGGTGCCCATTCCAGAAAGGATGAGGGAACAGAGATGGGAGAGGATCAAGCTTCTCTTCCTGTTCGTAGTCCATTCACACACACATCCTAGGGCCCCGGGAGTAGTGGTAAGGACCACAGAACTTCTTAAGCCAATAGAACACTCAGAAGTTCAAGCATGAGGGTCACTGTCTTTCCCCGGACAGCCTTTGATCTGCCTTTGTGTTGCTGGTTCTGACTCACAGCAACCAGGTAGGACACATCTGAACTGGCCTTAAAAGTTTCCAAGGTTGTGGCATCTTTATGGGAGGGGCTGATGGGTTTCACCTACCAATGTTAAGGTCAGCGAGGGGATTTGAATTGCTAACCCTTAGGTTAGTCTATCAGAGCTTTAACCATCATGCCAGCAGCAGTTGTTGTTGTGTACCATCGAGTCTGAAATGACCCATAGCTGATGGGTTTTAAAAAGCAATAGATTGCCCAGGGGGAAACTACGTTTGTTCCATGGAGTATCTGGTGGATTTTAATCACTTGCCTTTCGGTTGATAGTACAATTCCTTACTACAAAGCCACCAGATTATTGATGCCTTTGAGCTGTGGTGTTGGAGAAGGGCACTGAACATCCCATGGATGGACGGCCAAGAGAACAAACAGATAGGTCTTGACGAGGGTGCAGCTGGAGTGCTCTGTGGAGGCAGAAATGATGAGGCTTCACGTCACATACTCTGGGCATGATGTTAGATGGGGCTATTCCTTGCAGGGGGACATGCTGCTGGGAAGGGTGGAGAGTCGATGCAGGAGAGGAAGACCCTCAACCAGGTGGACTGATGTGGTGACTAATGCAATGGGCTCTTGTGCGTCAGGAAGGGTGAGGATGGTGCAGGATAGAACAGGGTTCAGATCTTTAGTTCACAGGGTTGCCACCTAACAACAACAAGCCACCAGAAGTCCCTCATGCCACCAGGGTTTTCCAGAAACCTTTTATTACACCACCAGCTCAGGTGATAGGATGGCACCTGAACAGGTGGCAATCATGTCATCTTCACATCCCTACCCCCACACTGAGTCCAGGAGCAGGCTGAGCACGGGTAGGATGGAAGGGGGAGCTCGCTGGCACCACTGCCAATATCATTCTGTTTTTCCCTCCCACGGAAAAATAAAACAGGTAAGAGATGCCCGCTCCATGGGCTTTGTGTATGTACTTTTAAAATGTCACCTTTGGGTAAAACTCAGCCCACTATCAGATTATTAATAAAACGCAGCAACTGTCAGATGCCTTCTCTGCGCAGGGAAGCTTGGCGGCGACACCTATTAGAAGAGACAGATGGCCTTACCTCTCTGCGCCCGAGTCCGCAGCTGTGAGTGGAGGTAACTGGGAGGGAGGGTGGTGGGGGCTCCCCTGCACATTATGTCCCGGAGAAGGGTGACTGACAGCGTGTGGGGGCGGCCTGGACCCAGCAGCTGTTCCACTTCGACTCGAGTGATTGTTGGCGAAGAGAGGAGCTGAAAGCAAGGAAGACACACGTCAGAGGATGCCTCGAACCCGGAGCTGCACGCTCGAGACCCGAGTCTGACCGCAGTGCACGGCAACAGCTTGCTGGCTGGCTTGTCTCCTGGTGGCTCTGGGGAGCCCGTCTCTCCTCCTTCTACACACACAGCTGTGGCTTTCCCTGGGATCCCAGGCCCCGGCTGCAGCTTCACACTGTCTCACTTGGTCCTGCAGACCAAACTCCTTGTTTACCTTTGAAGGGCTCCCCTGGCCTGTCGCCCCCCTCCATCTGTAAAAGAAGTCAATCTTGTCAAGTTAGCATCTTCACGGAGGCCCCCATATGCTCATCTCTCAGTCATGGGGGACAAGAGGCAGGCACCAGAACATTCCACAGGCTGAATGAGAAGGGCATAGCACCTCTCTCTGTGTCTCACCATCCAGGGAGCTATCACAGGACACAAAGAGCCACCAGAGTCAGCGAGAATCTCCCCCTACCACCCTGAGCTCCTCTAATAAGAGCGGAGTCTCCTTTGTCTTAGCATGAACACACACAGGGTTTTAAATTCCATTTCTAACAAGCCTGCCTTGAGCTTGTCAGCAAGGAAACTTGGTCTCCATTAAAACTGACTCCACGTAACCCTGTCAAATGGCATAACATAGCTTAAGAGACGTATGGTCGGAAACCCTAAGTCTCTGTAAACTTTCATTAATGTTAATAAAGAAAAAAAGGGACGTATGGTCATGCTCTCATTTGATGAGCAGTGTCAGGTCTTCAAAGCTTATGAACAGATATCAAAGACAACTATTCCCTCCTCCTGACTTATCTAGAACAAAAGACAAAGAAGGAAACCAAAGAATCAGAGATGAAACTAGTCTGCAGGGCACAGAGTGTGCACGTACCATGACCTCACCTATCCTGAGACCAGAAGCACTAGATGGTGCCCGACTACCACAACAGGCACAGGGATAGTTGACGCTTCCTGTAGAATGAGAAAAACGTGGGCTAGAATATTGAATTCTTCACACACACCAAAACCAAAACACCTCCCCCATAAAAGTCCCCAAATTTGAAAACCACAAACAAACCAGACCTACTAGACCAGTGGAGACGGGGCACTTCTTAGGACTGCTGCCCTGCAATCCTCTCCCCACTTTTACCTGAAACTTGCCTCTAAGGTCACCCTATAGCTAATCAACAGAGAGGTCACAAAAGAAAACATACCATCTGTGAGTACTGAGCTCTTTTTAAAAAAAATCACTAATAAAAGATTCAATGGCTACCATTCTTTCTGAAGTAAAGACAAGCACGTATGGGGTTGGGGAACCAGATTACTGGAAACGAAAGCACCAGAATGAAATAACAAGGATGCTCATACATCGTGAAGACTGTGAACAATGTCACGTAACCGTTTGTGTTGAATGGCCAAATGGGAACCTACACCACTGTGGAAACCTAGAAAAAAACCCTAACTTTATTTAGTGAGTCCTCTGCCACTACCACCAAAAATGACAAGGACCCTCAAACAGAAGCTGGCCACTGTCCCCTGCTGTGACTCCTCCTGACAGAAGATGGAGGAAGACAGGGTCATTCAGGCAGCAGCGCCTCCGAGGATGGCATGTGACCTCAAAGTGAAGTCTGTACCCAGGCAGGTGGGCTAAGTGGTCCGGTGGCACCGTGGGAACTGGGGATGTCACCTTCAGAGTCTATCAGGGAGGCCCTCTGAGCATCGGGATCTCACTTAGGGGGCATCTAATTACTCGGCCAGCAGACAGCATTGTCGGGCTGGTTCCTTCCCTCCCTGATGGGGCTAGCTCACCGCTGGACCTCCTCTCTCCTCTTCCACTTGACTCCACACGTACCGGAGAATAGACAGAAGAGGGAGTTTTTGAAGAAAAGACATTCTCCTCAGGACTAAAAAGAAGCTACATTATCAAAAAGAGCTGCAGGTTGAAAAGTTCAGGGAGCTGTATTTTTAGACCAGCACCACTTTCCTACACCCTTTCTGGGATGGAGTTAAGATCCCAGATGGCCCAGATCCCAAAAGATGAACCCAATGGGGTAAGAGTTCAAATACACAAAGGGACATGTGTTGTCACTCAAAAAGCTACAGATGGCTGAGATCTGATTGAAGAGATTATTCCTGGCAGATCAGCTTGCTGTCTGGTTAATGCCTGCCCTCAGAAGCCTCCATCCTCCATATCGTGAAGAAGTCAGAGTGCTTGAAACAGGCTTTGCAGCCCCAAATGCGGAGGTCTGCTCCAGGTGTGCGGTAGTGGCAATAAAAGGTGCACATCTGCATGGTCACCAGAATCACCTTATGAATCACTGCCCCACGTATGCTCAGCTCGCTCCGGCAGCCACAGTTTTCTTGCGTGTCTTATAATCACCTCACCCTGGGGAGGAGGTCTGGACTGACTGTGGCAATCCTGTCAGCACTGGTGTTTGTCAGCACAGAGCTCCATGTTTTACAGGCTGTTTGAAAAACTAACAGAGTACGAGGAACTCAAAGAGGCACTGAGCGATCACAGCTAACTGTCAGACCTCCACTGGACACAACATTTATCCTCCCTGGAG